CGGCAAAACTCAACGTATAGTCTAGCTGCCTCACAGATATGAGAGATATATCTACAGAAAGCTTGAACTTTCTACTTTCAAAGGAACCAAATCGAAAACAAATACTCTCTGTTTGCGTAATCCGTATGAAAGCTGCATTTCTCTCTAACAGTGCATTCACTGTATTGCAGACGACACACTGACTGAGAAAACACCAGTTTATTAATAATTAAAATATCTCCTTGATATATAGTAATTACTTTTGCCAGTGCTTTGATTAGGCTATACATTAAAGCCTCATTATGGTTTAGTTCCCCACCGCCGGTATATATTAAATTAATTAAATTAATATAAAAGTGCAATTAGTCAACAGAAAAAATCATGTTATAGGACAATGAGCTTTTGCACATGCATGCACATGCACAACTACAGTGTTACAAAGACTAGGCCTACATGCTTGTCTGAACCAAATCAATATTTCCGACCAACATAAAATCGGCACACATCCCCCCAGACAATGCTTCTTGCCGAGGTTAAGCTTGACAGACATTACATCCCACAACAAGACTTCCTGTGCACAAAGGACTGACATCTGACAGTGCAGAAACGATTGAGGAGTAGGGGATTGTGGGTAAATACGAAATAGCACATCAGGTTAAACCTCACAAATACTTCATATATGTGTGTATGATTGTACCTGTCAATTTTTACTGCTCTACTGTCTGTCTAAACCTGCTCTAAACAGATTGATTGACAATGACAGAAGGATAAGAATGAAGGTGTTTGATTGATCGAGAATGTCATTTTATGACCCATCTGTCATGACCTGTCATCTTCCAAAATGACAGCTGAGAAAAAGTAAACACACAGTCACACACACACACAATTTTCTCCTCTCCTTCCCATAAACAGTTCTCATTTTGCCGTGAGGGGTTGCCTAGCAACAGCACACATTCCGAGATTGTTTACGATGCTTGAAAAATAGTTCAGCGCATAAGGAGCGAGAAAGACAAGAGATCACGAAGAGGAAATCACACTTTAGTAGGGTATCCATTAAAGTTCAGCTAAAATGAGAATTATAGGCACAGTAACATCTGTGAATGTGAATAAACAACTTTGTATCAGTTGTGAATCATCCAGGCTGGCCTCCCACATAAAGGAACATCCATTTGTCGCATTTTTTTTAGGTATCATATCATCATATTAGGATTGTTCCTTTATTGGTCCCCAAAGGGGAAATTTCACTAGGCACAACAGAACAATAAAAAGAGAATAAAAAACAAAACACATTCCAATAAATACCTAAACATCAAAGACTTTACAATAAGGTTCCATGTGTTATCTATGTTTAAGGCATTAACTAACAATGAGCAATGCATTTGTTTTTATACAGTATTTATTAATCGTTGTTAACATTATAAATGCTGCTGTTCATTGTTAGTTTATGTTAGCTGAGGTTCATTAAAAAACATATTAATACATGTTGGAATCAACATTAACTATGATTAATAAATGCTTAATAAGTATTTTTCATTGTTCATTGTCAGTACTGTAAAGTACTAAAATAACTAAAATGAAATAAACTAAAACTTAGTCAAAACTATATAGATTTATTTACTAAAAAAAATAATAAAATAAAAATGACAAAACACAACAAAATTACAAAGGCTTTAACTAAAATGACAAATTAAATGAAAACAGAAAAAAAATCGAATTAAAATTAATAACAGAAAAGATATTAGAAATAAAAAAGTTTTGAAGTTCCAAGGTATCATTGCATGTGAATAAGGTAATTCCAGAATGCACTGCAACACGTTTAAAAAAAAGATTGATAGTTTGAGAAAAATGCTTTTATATCAATTAAAAGTAAAACTATTCTAATGAAATAAAACTACTATTTTACCCAATATTTGTAAGTGCTATTTGTTTTTATGTTTATTAAAGTATTACACTGCTAGCTTAGCAACATGCTAATATCAAACTCTTTAAGGGTAAATTGTCTCTTTTGCACAATTTTTGAAGAGTACAATTTGTGGGGAGTTTGGAATTGCTGTCTATGTAGAGTCTTCCAAATCAGTCACTAGTTGTTCCATTTAAATAAGGATGCTTCCTTAAATGTAGTTCCCCTTCTAGGGAGCTCAACGCTGCGTCCTGGTGGACACTTTGGGGAATGCAGCCAGCATGACCAGTGCCTGAAGCTTGTGTAAAACAACTCCAATCCTATTGGTCCAAGTGGCCTGTGACGTCATAGGCGGGTACCCAAAAATACATAAAGGCACCTGCTGAATACGTCACCAACTTTTGTTGTCTTCAGAGCCGTCTGTTTGCCAACGTGTGGGAAACATCATCCTGGTGAGTCGAGCAGCGCTTTGAGGAATGTGTGCCTCCATGTTTGGATTCTAACTCTTGAGGGCATATTCTAACCTTTGCATCTTTGTCTCAGCAATCATGCGCTCTTTGTGATGAGCCACATTGTACGCTCCGCTAGCGCTTCCCGTGGGATGCGGGGCAAAGCGTTTGTGTCTCGGGCCGTTGCAGCGGCTCGGTTTATCTCAGCTCGCAGTGATTGCTTTGATCTGCAGTGTCCGCAAACCCTTTACAATCGGGTTTCCAGATGCCGCGATTATTGCTCACGTTGCTATGAAAGTGTGAGCACGATGAAGTGTGAACACCAAGTAATTTTTGCTCAGGGCATGTGAGATCGTGGGTGGAGCTTTGTTTAGGAATCTGCTCTTTGAAGATAGCTGTGTTCCAGCTCAGAGACTGCTCCCCTTTGTGGGGTCTTTAAGTAGTGGTCTCCCTGAGCCCTAGACTGTCTCCCCTGTTCAAGTTTTAAGTAGATGGCCCACTTCATGGTCTGGGCAGACTTCAGCCCTATCTGATGGAAATGCTATTTGAGGATAGCTGTGTCCGGCCACCTAGTGTTATGGCCATTGCTTGCATCAGGCTTTGATCTGGACTAATGGGTTTTTACGTGTTCGCTCTTTAGCGAATCATTTACTATGGTCTGGATCTTCCTATTGTGAGCCTCTGGTCAATATATCAGTGCTCGCTAGCCTACTGTAGGACTGACACTGATTGGGGACCTCCTTAGTATAGCCATCTAAGGATGGTTACATTTCGGCCATTGTTATGGCAGGATGGGCTTACTTGAATACAGCCCCCTGAAGCTAGCTGTGTGATAACTTGCCCTTTCCTGGAAGCGTAGCTATCTGAGGATAGCTATGTGCTAGCTCTCTGATTGCTCCCCTGCCTAGGGTTTTTAAGTAGCGGTCTCCTTGAGCCCTTACCTAGACAATGCTGTCTCCCCTCTCTGGGTTGTAAGTAGACAGCCCACTCTCTGTGGTCTGGGTAGTTTCAGTCGGTCCCCCTCTGGTAGCACTTCCTACACATATAGCTATCTGAGGATATCTATGTGCTAGCTCAGTGACTGCTCCCCTTCCTAGGGTCTTTAAGTAGTGGTCTACTTGAGCCCTTGCCTAGATAATGCTATCTCCCCTGCTAGGGTTGTAAGTAGATAGCCCACACTTTGTGGTCTGGGCAACCTCATAGGAGGGTTTACCTGGTTATCTATGCTAGCTGTGCGGGACTAGCTGTTGATAGCCCGTTGATTGCTCCCCTTCTTAGGGTTTTTAAGTAGCGGTCTCCTTGAGCTCTTACCTAGACAGTGCTGTCTCCCCTGCTAGGGTTGCAAGTAGACAGCCCACTCTTGTGGTCTGGGTAGTCTCAGTCGGTCCACTTCTGGTAGCCTTCCTAGGTACATGGCTATCTGAGGATATACAGTACTTATCTGAGGATAGCTATGTGATTGCTCCCCTTCTTAGGGTTTTTAAGTAGCGGTCTCCCTGAGCCCTGGCTTAGACAGTGCTACCTCCCCTGCAGGGTTTTAGATCCCCTTGGTCTGGGCAGCCCTTTAGGAAGGTCCTTTGTCATAAGACCCTTTGGATATAGCTATCCTAGCTGAGATTGTTGGTAGCAATCTTTGAGACTAGGCTTCCAGCCTCTTAGTGGTCTTATGTATTCTGGCTACAATTGCTCACATAGCATAGCTGTCTGAGGATGGTTGTGTTCCTAGCTTGTTTAGGGTATTCCCCCTTATCTGGAATCGGGCTCCCTGTTTCTACCAATTTATGTGAGTGGCCCAAGGCATCAGTGGCTTGGCCCCTTTCTGAGGAAAGGTTTGGTGTATGTCTGTCATCTCCTGAGTTCCCCAGAAGGGGAACGTCTCAGGTTACCCATGTAAACATGGTTCCCAGAGAGGGAACGAGATGCTGCGTCCCCTTGCCATGCCTTCTGCCTGCCTGTTTACATCTCCTTAGAGGTCTACACGGGCTTTAAACTGAAGCCCGAATCCAGCCCGAACCCGAGATCGTTTTTTTCCCCCCACAACGAATAGCCAATTTAAAAAATGCTGTATTTCACGATTGCATGCAACGGTCAGTAAACAAATACATGTAAAGAAAGAGAATCATTAAGACTTGGCCAGTTCACAAGGCAAAATAGAAAACACTTAGTTTTGCTATTCATTAAACATTAACCTGAACCCGACCCGGGTAGAAGACCTCTACATCTCCTCAGAAAACTGAGTTGGTGACATATTCAGCAGGTGCCCTTTTATAGTTTTGGGTACCCGCCTATGATGTCACGGGCCACGTGGACCAATAGGATTGGAGTTGTTTTACACATGCTTCAGGTACCGGTCATGCTGGCTGCATTCCCCAAAGTGTCCATCTCGTTCCCTCTCGGGGAACCATGGTTACATGGGTAACCCGAGACGTTCCCTATGTAGACCGCAAGGCAGCTAAGTAGCTTTCTAAAACAGAGTTTATGAGTTTTGTTCCAAAAAAATCATAATAAGTGATTTAGTAAAATGCTTAAAAATAAAATAAAGAACTGTACAACATGGCCTCCTAAGAAAATAACAGAATTGATAATACTATTTTAACTGGCACCTATTGATTTAGGTTGAGATTTAAAGAGCACCTGATAATTGAGCTAAGATTTGAGTAAATGAGACTTACATGACCGTGTTGATGCCAGAAAGCTGCTGGAACATCTGGAGTCCACAACCCACAATGAGAGCACGGCGTGTCGGAGGGTAGGTCAACATGCGCCAGATCACCGGGCCCTCTGAAAGCACAAATATAAATACATATTTACGTCAACATGTAGACCTGCATCAACAACCAGAATGACTCACATACTATTATAAAAACTACCTCTGTTAAAGCCTCATTTACACTGACAGCAATTAACTGGATTAAATGAGATTTGAAGGCCTTGGTGGAGTCACGGGTGTAGATTTGGGAATGGATGGTATTCATTCTATGGATTAAATTAAAGCTCTTTTTAGGCTCCAAAAACAACCAAAAATATCAACTGACCCAGGAAGAAGCAACACTAAGAAATGGTAGTTTGCCAAACTTTATATTTACTGACACACACACACACTCACACATATATACAGTATAATGTATATATATAGTAATGTAGAAACAAGATAAACAAAGTAAATTTTTTATATTTGTTTTAAGTTATCTTTTTTTATTACTGAAGGCAAGTATCACTGATACCAATTGATGTCTCTATTAATTTTTTTCCTAATATTTAACCATTGTCTATGGCCATTCAACATTACAGTATAATTAAGAGCTATCAATTTAACATTTATTAGACTTTAAAAAATAACTTCTAATTTAAGTGAACTTAAAACAATCTTCAAATAAAACCATTATAATAAATGTCAAATTGCTACCTGTGCCCTTCAGCAAGAAAATATAGCCTAATTTAATAAAGTTATCACTAAATTCTAAATTAAATAAAGATAAAGCTTAAAGCTACAGAAGTTATTGATTTCCTCTTTTTTAATTTTGTTCTCTGATTAACAGACATCACAGCAGCTGATTATTAGGATATTTTGACTGCTACTTTAAGAGCTTCCGCTGCTGAACTTGATGAGGATTTGACACTGCTTTAAATGTGACTCACAAATAATAAACACTTGCATACACACTTTTGTAACTTCATGACGACATTGCATACTTGAAGTTTCATTTGGGTTTGAATAGATACAGAGCTTTATGTAGCTTAATACAGCGCGCATTTGTGCATGTAATTGAAGTGCGCGCTACGAGCCAAGTATAAAGGCAGGCAGGACAGGAAGATTCTTGTTTACTGACATCTGGCCTGACAATATCTCATCTGACCGCAGTTCACTGATGTTCTACTGAAGCTTCTTATCGCGGTACCGTTTCCACGCTCGTTTGAATCGTGCCTGGCACTGAGTTGGAGTGCGTGTCTGAAAAGTCTCCCGTTTGATGTGTTCTTAAAGATGTTCCGCATCTAAATAAACGCAATTCTATAGCAGTTGTGAGTGGGGTGGCCAAACCTAGCCCCGCCCCTGCATTAATTGCATGAAATATTTTTTACACATTAAACTAAATTGCCTGCGTTAACACGCAAATTGTGAAACCACTAATATATATGTGTGTGTGTGTATATACTGTATATATATATATATGCCATTTCTACTTTTGCACTGTGGCTAATCCATGGTATTAAAATAAATTACATACATTCATTAATACATTCAAACATTTCATAAGAGCAGCAAAGAGACTACCACAGAAAAAATCATTAGTATTGAGAAATAGAGAAATAACGACATAAGACTTTGGCATGACATGAGGAGGAGAAAATGATGACAGAACTTTCATTTTTGGGTGTATTATTCTTTTAACTCTATGCGCTCACACATAAAACCCTATTGGGAGAGAAATTGTCCTTTATTAGCCTGATATTGTCAGAGGAAGCTTGCAGGTTCTCGTGCCGAGAGATGACTGGATATTCTCCAGAGACAGCAACCAGAAACGCTCATTTGATTACCGCTCCAAACTCAAATTCATGAACCGCTCGGATCAGGCCTGTACAGAGGAACAGTGCTTTTAATGAGATGCTAACTTCATTCAATCAGACAGGCAATCTTACTTCCAAACAAAACTGGCAAAACATCTGTGTGCCCTTTTAATCTAATTGCTGCACAGACTTGGTAACTAAGGAAGCACCTGAAGTCATCACCGAATACAATATATCTGGATCCAGTCTAAGATGATGTGAAGGACCATTTGTTTTCATTATTTTTATATTTTAAAGTATGATCCTGATGATCAGTTTGTGCTTTTTATGTAATAAAATCCCCCCAAAATAATAATAATTAATTAAGTGTACAAGTGAGTACGGCTCATGCATTTTTCATTTGAAGTATATTTTAAAGTACACACTATATTTATATATATATATTTTATTTTATGGTTTATTTTTTTGAGATAAAAAAAAAAACAAAACAAAAAGGCAGTTTTAAAGTGAATACTGTGCAGTATGCCGTAAGCAGTATCCTAGTGTTTTTTTTTCTCCCTTTTATGGTTTTATTTTTTTATTTTTTATTTTGAGGAAACACCAACAAAACAAATACATAAAACATAACAAAACAAAACAATTTTTTTATTTTGAGAAACCACCAACAAAACAAAAACAAAGCAAAAAAACAACAACAAAAAACAAGCAAAACAAAATAAAAACAGGCAGTTGTAAAGAGTAGACTGTGCAGTATGCAGTACGCTATAATAGTATTTGAATCTGAATATTGCCGAATAGAGACCATATTTGAAGAAGTGCTGTGAGAAAGCCCTTGAGTTTTTCTCTTAACATACTTTACACCCTTAAATTTGCTGTCACCCTGACGAAGATCTCCTCTCTATCTCCATGGAAACCACTCAGCCAGTTAGCTGTACTCTTTCCTAATATCAAAGGTACAATCATTAACTGAAGCAGTGAAATGTTAGCAGTACAGCAGCTAGTGAAGGGCCTGGGTTGCGTGTGGCATGTGGGTTGAACTGCTTTTTTAAAAAAAAAGACAAGGTAATTATTTTCCTTTAGATCCTCACTATCATGGAATCCCCAATTATGCTCAATTGCAATGACACTAGCTAGAAAAACACCTTTTTACTTAAACGCCTCTGTAAGCAATTAGTGTGCACTCTTGACTCGTGTGGCAAAAGCTTCTTTAAGTGGAAGTCATTTTACACATCAGTTACTGTTACATGATCTCCTTGCAGTAAAGAGACAACTCGGGAAGCACAAAACAATTTTAGCATTTCACAACACTGAGTTTGGTTCCACTGGGTTATGCTGCAGTACAACATTTTAAAAATGTTCTAAAAACCACAAACCTAAAATTAAGCAAATAAAGTAATCAAGGAATCACATGCAAAATAAATGAATAAATAAATAATAATCAGTACGAAACAGCAACATTACATTTTAGTCACAAGTAACAATGCAATGTCCCATAAACTTTGTGAAAATGCCTATTTGGAAATTTTTGATTAGAGTTCCATTCTACATTTACAGAATCACTTCTTTCTCATTTAATGTAATATTATCAGATGTTCAGAGAGAAAATTGGAATGGCAAAATATTTTGGTCATAAGGTTTATGCAACACACACACACACACACAGAAATATATATATATATATATATATATATATATATATATATATATATATATATATATATATATATATATATAT